TCACCTCTCGAACGCAATCGAAACCAGCAGATGTTCGATACTGCCCGCGAGTTGAGTTCGCGGCGGCCCGCTGAGGCAAAACAACGACGTGCTGATGTGGGCTCACCCGTGCTAGGGGGCGGCGCGCGGTCGGTCCGCTGCGACCTGGCGGGGCACGACTGAAGTGGCTTCGTGAGCCGATACAAGCTAAACCTGAAGCCAATACAAGCTACTAAGGCCTACCAGATGAGGTCCAAGTAGGCGGGGTCGGAGGCTCGCGCCACATCGCCGACATCGCCAGCGATGCATCGGCGACGTCGGCGATGCACGAGCGCCGTCGGCGTGGAGAATAAGATGAAGCCGGGATCGGGGCAAAATTTGACCGGGATAAAAATCATGCTCGGTTTTTCAAATCACCGGTGGCGCCGCCGAACGGGCCTGCCACGCCTTGGGCGCCATCGGCTTCGCGAGGGAAGAAAAGCGCCCCGGCGCGGATGAAGCCACGGCGCGTATTTGGCCACGCGCACGACCGAGGGAATTCAGCGCCAAGCGCCTTTCACTCCAGAAGGCCCGACGTCAACAAAACAAACTTGAGGCCCAAAGGGGGCCCCAAGGAGGCGGACCGCCAAAACAATCACGCAGCCAACGCAACGAAAAAAAACACGAAAATGTCAAACATCGCGTTACTCAGTGACCTCTTCGGCCAAGCAACACCGCGATAATGCCCAAGACGGCATTGGAAAAAAAGTCACGCGCGCGGCCAGGCGACTTCCCCGCGCCGCCCCAAGGTTCCCGAAGCGCGCCGAAATAACCGTAGAGAACACCCCGGAAAGACTTTGGAAAATCCCCGCGCCATGCAAAATCCGCCACCGAACAATCTCGCGGACACCGAGCGCGTGCGCGCGGGCGTCCACCATGGATGCCCAACTCCGGTTTCCGGGACAATCGCGCGCAACCGCCTGGGGGCCTCGGCAACCTCGCAATTGGCCCAGGGGCCCGCGGGCCCCAGGGAATCGAAGACCGAGTTCGCAACTCCGGAAGCATCGGGCGCGGCGCCAGCCAATCGCTCGTCTCTGGCTGACAGTAGGACGCCTGGAGACCCGGTAAAACCGAAGGAACCGCTTTTCAGAGACTCGCAGAACCAGAAACCGGGGCGCGCCAAATTCTCGCGTCCGAACTTCTCTGGGAATCTCTGAAAATCTCTGAATTAGCCACCCCGCGTGAAACATTCCCATAAACCCAAAACCTCGGAGCTGGCCGAAACTCTCTGAGAGTTTTTCGGCCCGCGAAATTTGGCGCGCCCGGATTTCTGGTTCCGAGATCCTCTGAAATCGCGCTGCGGCGGCGCCCAGCAGGTCCTCGCGCGCCCAGGGTGGAGGCCGTGGACATCGCGGGCCGCGATGGTCCCGACCGCGAGGTCCTTCCTCCTGCCCCTCGACGAGTCCACGCTCATGGACACGCTCTCTGCGCTGAGCGTGGACCGCGCCAACCGCCGGTACTTCTGCGCGACGACAGCCAACTGGCCGCCGACGGACAAGGCGATTTTTCTCCGAGCTGCGCGTGCCACCGAAAACGTACATACAATAGCCCTGGGCTCGGGGAGAAACACTTTCTCGAAACATTTTCAGGCCGCCAGCGTCGTAGCTGCCGACCCGCCGCGCGCCGACCGAGAGACTAACTGGGCCCACTACGTCCACGGCGGCGGGCGGGCGCCCAAGAGAGCTGTCGCCACGGTGCGCGCGGCGGGGCGCCCGCCCAACTGCAGCCGTACATGCGGCCTCCATGGCGCCACAGGCGTAATATGTGTGACGCATTCTCGGGCCCCCCATCAGCGCACTGGCCAGCGCCCAAGTCCCTGAAACGCAAACCTACTGCGCCCCCCGTGCAAGCCGCGCACCCGCTCACAATGCTCGTGCGCACCAGATTTTCTGCCCGCCCTCAACAGTTTAATTGAGCGCCCATGTGTTACTTGGGTTCCTCAAGCCCTCGAACACTCTTTGGGAACTTCTGCGAATGCGCGCGCTACGCTCCACAAATCGGCGTTCTATTTTTCTCTGGAACTCTCCCAGAATCTCTGGTTCCGATTTGTCCCGATCTTCCGCTCAACTGAGAGAAAGTCGGGCTCCACATCCAGCAGCATCGCCGATGCATCGGCGATGCGGAGCGATCCTCCGACCCCATCTACTCGGACCCTCGGACCCTGTTTGGAAGCCTGGAGTCTGTATGGTATCCAGAATAGATCGAGGAGAGGGGTCCAAGTTCGAGGACCGAGGAGAGGTATCCGATATCCAGGAGAGGATTCAGAAGAGGACCGAGGGAAAGCTCGGCGGCGCGGCGGCGGCATCTATCGGAAAGATGTAAGACTCGGGTTCGGGGGACGCGAGTTGGCCTGACGGGGCCATCGTGAAAGCTACGAGCCTGAAGCTTGACACTCCCTCTGCAAACATCCCACGCAAAAACTGGACCGTCAGACTCCAGGACGCGCTCGTCAAAAAGCGTCGGCAAACCGAGGTTCTGGCGAGCTCGAGTCTTACTAAAGGTATTCTTTTTCCCCGACTCTACAGAGGAGGCCGGTCCACAAGAAACTTTCCACAAGAAGCCCAACCCTGAGACCCAATGACGTCCACTGATGTTTGATGTGGGCACGTCACGCTCTCCATCGCAAAGCCGTCGCAATCCAAGAAACCCAGGGCACCCTGGAGGCAAGCAGCGTGCTGTTTGGCATGGGTCTCCACTGTACTCGGGTCCCGTGTGAGTGAGCCGCAACGGTCGGGGATCTTCTGACCCGGGTCAATCCAGATCCGGGTCAGCAGGACACCAACAAACTGCAGTGCCGGAAAAACAACTGCAAGGCAGGTCTTCGCAACCCCGGGTCAACCAACGTGCGCGGCCGCCTCGCGGCCACGAGCGGCTCGCTGACCCGGGTCAGCCAGAGGGGGTCTTCGCGGGATCCCGCAGGATCCCGTGCCCCGGCTGACCCCGTTTGCACTGACCCCCGTCTCTTGAGCTCCGACGAACCTCGATCATCGATCCTCCGGCCTCGACCCTCGACTCCTGCGGAAACCACAAGGTACCGCTACCGCTGCTTTCCAGACGCCTCCTGGGGTGCGCTCTGGCCAGGACTCCGAGGCATATAACCCGCGGCGGCGACGGCAAAGGCCCAGGAGGCCCAAAAAGGGGAAGACGAGGGGATGGTAGAATGAAGTCGGGCGTGTCCCCCTGCAGGGGGATTTTCGACGAAAAATGAAGAACAAAAAAAAAAAAACCCTGGCGACGTACCCAACCCCTGCGCAAAAGCGGGGCGCAAATAGTTTAGGATACTTTATAAGGGGGCGATGACGGAGCGAGGGTTACATATGTCTGCAGACGGAATTCGGGAGACTCGCAGGACACTGGCTACAGGAAAAGGGCTTGATAAAGCTGATGATTTACAATTCCTGAGCACTCCTAGCCACTTCGAAAACGGGGATCACAGCAGGCCTCGAAAGTGGCGACAGGTTCACAGATCGCAGCCCCGCAGGGACGGCGAGGTCTCATTTGAATCTGCCCGTGGCCCTCACTGTGCTGGGCCCCCCAGCAGGCCTCGAAAATGGCGGCAGTTTCGCAGATCGCAGCCCCCCAGGGATGGCGAGGTCTAATTTGAATCCGCGCGTGGCCCTCACTGTGCTGGGCCCCCCAGCAGGCCTCGAAAATGGCGACAGTTTCGCAGATCGCAGCCCCCCAGGGATGGCGAGGTCTAATTTGAATCTGCGCGTGGCCCTCACTGTGCTGGGCCCCCCAGCAGGCCTCGAAAATGGCGACAGTTTCACAGATCGCAGCCCCCCTGGGATGGCGAGGTCTAATTTGGGTCCGCCCCTGGCCCTCACTGTGCTGGGCCCCCCAGCAGGCCTCGAAAGTGGCGACAGTTTCGCAGATCGCAGCCCCCCAGGGATGGCGAGGTCTAATTTGAATCCGCGCGTGGCCCTCACTGTGCTGGGCCCCCCAGCAGGCCTCGAAAATGGCGACAGTTTCGCAGATCGCAGCCCCCCAGGGATGGCGAGGTCTAATTTGAATCCGCGCGTGGCCCTCACTGTGCTGGGCCCCCCAGCAGGCCTCGAAAATGGCGACAGTTTCGCAGATCGCAGCCCCCCAGGGATGGCGAGGTCTAATTTGAATCCGCGCGTGGCCCTCACTGTGCTGGGCCCCCCAGCAGGCCTCGAAAGTGGCGACAGTTTCGCAGATCGCAGCCCCCCAGGGATGGCGAGGTCTAATTTGAATCCGCGCGTGGCCCTCACTGTGCTGGGCCCCCCAGCAGGCCTCGAAAGTGGCGACAGTTTCACAGATCGCAGCCCCCCAGGGATGGCGAGGTCTAATTTGGGTCCGCCCGTGGCCCTCACTGTGCTGGGCCCCCCAGCAGGCCTCGAAAGTGGCGACAGTTTCGCAGATCGCGGCCCCCCAGGGATGGCGAGGTCTAATTTGGGTCCGCCCGTGGCCCTCACTGTGCTGGGCCCCCCAGCAGGCCTCGAAAGTGGCGACAGTTTCGCAGATCGCAGCCCCCCAGGGATGGCGAGGTCTAATTTGAATCCGCGCGTGGCCCTCACTGTGCTGGGCCCCCCAGCAGGCCTCGAAAATGGCGACAGTTTCGCAGATCGCAGCCCCCCAGGGATGGCGAGGTCTAATTTGGGTCCGCCCGTGGCCCTCACTGTGCTGGGCCCCCCAGCAGGCCTCGAAAGTGGCGACAGTTTCACAGATCGCAGCCCCCCGCAAGCAAGACAGGAAGAGGCGGGAGGCGGGAGGCGGGAGAAGGGACGCGACCACACTGCTCTATTCAAAACGAATACCCAACCAAGGAGGGTTGGGAAAAAAACTCAAAAATACGCCAGAATTGTAAACAAATGCTCACAAAATAGTCCCGGGACTATCTTTTTACTATTTCTGAATATTCCCCCTGTAGAGGGACAGGCCCGACTTACTGGTAAAAGCATGGGCACCTTCGAGCGCCGTGCTGAGCCCCGAAGCGGTGTGCCGTCCGAGCGCCCGGCGTGCACGAAGCAGCTCCCGCCGCCGGCGAGGGGCAGCTCGGTGCGGAGGTCCGCCCAGCGGCTGTGGTAGGGCCTCGCGCCGGTGCGCCGGTGCGCGCCCCGCCCCACGCCGACAGCCTACCAAACCACCCAAGCCCGACCCTCGGGTCGGGCGAAAGGGGGGGATAGCAAAGGGGGGGGTTGAGAATCAGCTCACGTAGCTGATTTTCCCGGCGCCTCCCGGCGCCGGGAGGCGGCCATGTATCGAGGATGGGGGCCCCTCGGTGAGGCCGAAACCAGCTGCATGCAGCAGATTTCGTAATCCCCCCTTTCCCTATCCCCCTCTTTCGTTCGGCCCGAGACCCGAAGACCCGAGTTTCGGGTTGGAGGGGTACACGCCCATTTCTAATGGTGCTCGCTTCCAACAATTCCTGGCCCCTGAGTGGCCAGGAAGAGACCCAGGATAGAACAAGCAGAAAAGAACCGATGCGGAGAGCCCAGAATTGAGTCGGGCGTGTCCCTCTACAGGGGAAATACCAAAATTGACTATGCTTCTTTGCTTTCTGACATTTTCGGAGTATTTTGGTGTACTTGTCGTCCAAAATCCACCTGTAGGGGGGGCACGCCCGACCTAAGCCCAAAATCGAATGGATACGTCGGATCGGCAATCGAAACAACGCGGATCGGAGGAAATCGGCGGCCGAGGCGGGAAAAGGCGGATCGGCGGTAGTCCGCAGCCGAGCAGGCCGCCAGGGAGAAATCGGAGCCCAGATCGGCACACGGCGTCGCACCGAAGTGGAACCGGAAGCCATCGGACGCGAATCGAAGCGAACCGGAGGAATCCAAGTGAGCCCTGGAGGGAGGCCACCATCGGGCCGGGCGAAAGGGGGGGATAGCAAAGAGGGGGTTTGAGAATCAGCTCACGTATAGCTGATTTTACAGGCGCCTCCCGGCGCCGGGAGGCGCCCATGTATATCGAGGAATGGGCCCGGCGGCGGGGCCGAAACCAGCTGCATGCAGCAGATTTCGTAACCCCCCCTTTCCAAAAACCCCCCCTTTCGCCCGACCCGACACCACTGCAGCCACTGCGCCACCAGGAGCAGCGCAGCGAGTGGGGAGCGAAGGGGCCCTATATCTGGCCACGGCGAGCCGCGGCTGGAAGCGGGCTCCCTGGCTGCGTGAGGCTGGGCGGCCCGCCCGGAGGAGGGCATGGCTGCCCCCGCAGTGTTGGTGGACGCGCGCTGGCAGCGCTCTCCGTCACCGCGCTGGTGAGCACGGGGCCACGTCTGCCAAGCGACGCTCCTCCGTTCCCTGTGGATGCCCGAGGTGGGCACGAGGCCCAACAACAACTGCTGTCCCGAAGCGACAGCGGCCGCTGCTGGGCAGGCGGCCTGCTGGGTCAAAACGACACCGTTCGGGCGTTGGCAAAACTGGGTTTAGACGGACCTGGTTTATAGGATGTGTACGGGGGGACGCCCTCCCCACCCCGTTCCACTAACCGAAACTGCCGTCACCCGAACAAACACCAGCTACGGCAGACATGGTTTAGTGATTCTGGCACATTTTAGGGGCTCCGGGGCCCTATTGCTGACTGGGTCCCCTTACCTGGGGTCCTGGCTATACCCGAACCGTCCGCTGCGGCGCGGACAGCGAGTCCCGCTCAGGATGCACAAGACATGCTGCCGGTCTCTGTGCCCAATCTTTCCGCACCCATGTCCATCGAACCGATCCCTGCCTCGCCGCAGGCCGGCCCGTGGGCGGTTGGGGATCTACTTACTGACCCGGGTCAACCCAGACCCGGGTCCGTCAGGCGTCGCAGCATCCTGCAGAATGCTGCACCATCCTGCAGGATCATGCGCCCAAGCCTGGGTCAAGGATCCTGCAGGATCCTGCACCCAAGCCTGGGTCAGTGCGCCCCTGTCGGCGGCGACGATAGGGGCGGATAGCCCAGGGGCGGGCATTACACGTATCCGCCCGGGAGCCCTGTCGAAGACATAGATCATCGACACCCCTGGATACATGTATTGCTCCCCCCTGGGCTACTCGCCCCTCTTGTCGCCTCCAACCCTGGCTCCACAGGATCCTGCAAGATCCGGCGCTCTGACATACCCCCGCTCGCATCGACCCTCGTCCCTGGAGCCCCGAGCAGGTGAGTACCGTTTAACCGATCCCCATCCCCAGCGGCGTGGCCTGGGCCCCCCTGGCCGATTCACACCCCCAGATGGGGATGTAGGTCATTCCCTTCGCATTTCGAGGGGTGTATCCCCAACTGGGGTGGTAATCTGGTGGGGGTCCCGAAGGGGATGGAGGTGGGGATGGGGGTCGGTGAAACGATGCTGAGCAGGGGAGGGAGAGGCTCCCGGCCCCTCGAGGAGTGGCCGCAGGCGGAGCCGGGCGCCTGCGCCCGATCCAGCCCTGGGCGAGCCGGCCGAGCCTCACCTGCACGGCTCGGGCAGCTCGGCGGCAGGGAGGGGCACCGAGAGCCCGTCGGCGGAGGGGAGGGGCGCCGGCCCTTCCACCCTCAACGCCTACTGCCACCTCCGCCTCCCCCCCCGCCTCCTCCTTCTCCTCCTCCTCCGCCTCCTCTTCCTCCTCTTCCTCCTCCTCCTCCTCCTCCTCCTCCTCCGCCTCCTCTTCCTCCTCCTCCTCCCTCCTCCTCCTCCTCCTCCTCCTCCTCCCTCCTCCCTCCTCCCTCCTCCTCCTCCTCCTCCTCCTCTCCCTCCTCTCCTCCTCCCTCCTCCCTCCTCCCTCCTCCCTCTCCCTCCTCCCTCCTCCTCCTCCTCCCTCCTCCTCTCCCTCCTCCCTCCTCCTCCTCCTCCTCCTCCTCCTCCTCCTCCTCCTTCCCCCTTTTCTCACCGTGGATGCGCTAACACGAGATTGGTAGAATAGATCGGCAGATCAACCGCAACCGTCAGCACAAGTAGCTACGGGACTCCAAAACCACCGGTAATGCGCTGACGCGAGACAGGTAGAGTAGATCGGATGACCACAAGCCTCAGCACAAGCGGCGAGCAGCACCAAACCACAGTGCCAGTGCAGCATCGAAGAGATTGCATCCAGTAATCTTGAACCCCTAGATTGCATGCATCTGTCTATGGTGTGTGGAGGGTAGAGGTCAGGGGGAGGGAGAGGAGAGTGGCGAGCGGCGCGCGCGCCCTCGGCGCGGAGCGCCGACGCCAACACGCAATTGACGGCCCCGCCCTCCGCCCCCGCCTGCTGCCGCGTCCGCCGCCGCCGCCCCTCCCCCCCCATCCCCCCCTGCTGTCGGCCCCCTTCAGGGGCCCCCTCGCCAGTAAGGGCAATCCACCCTTTGACATGTATCCGCTGTCGGCCCTCTTCAGGGGCCCCCTCGCCAGCAACGGCCATCCACCCTCTGGCATGTATGAAACTAGAGTGGAGCGTCGCCCCCGCTGGATCAGCGGCGGCTCGTGCCCCCGAAGGGGCCCCAGCCGCTCCCGCGGGCAGGCCCCAGGAGAGAAGGGGCCCGAAACGTCACTGCTGCGGCCGCTTCTGCTGCCGCCGCCGCCGACAGCCTCCCAACGCCTCGCCCTTGTCCTCCTCATCCCTCACCCTCGTTCCCCTCACCTCTCCATCTGCTCTTCCCCTCCTTCCCCTCCTTCCCCTCCTCCTCCTCCTCCTCCTCCTCCTCCTCCTCCTCCTCTTCCTCTCATTATCACCATCATCATCATCATCATCATCATCATCATCATCATCATCATCATCATCATCATCATCATCATCAGCATCATCAGCATCAGCATCAGCATCAGCATCATTATCATCAGCATCATCATCATCCAAGCTATCATGAAGCATCCCCCTCCACGAGCAGCATCAGCCACATCACCATCACCACCACCACTAGATCATCATCACGCATGCCCCGCCGCCACCGCGAGACGACTCGGTCTGGGAGAGCGCGCACGAACACTAGCGCAAGCAAGAGAGACGCACTTCCCACGACCGCTCCGCTCGGGCTGCCGAAAAAGGGCGAGGGGGGAGACTCGTACCAGCGCGGCCAGGGCAACTGGGGGGGGGCATGGCGACCCCTGTCCCCGACTTTTGGTGGGCTCTTGGGATATGGAAAAGATCGGGCGTTGGCAGAACTGGGTTTAGATGGACCTGGTTTACAAAATGTGTACAGGGGGGACGCCCTCCCCCGCCCCGTTCCACTAACTGGAACTGGCGTCACCCGAAAAAGCACCAGCTACGGCAGACATGGTTTACTCCAGATTTCGTAATAAAGGGAGGGGGGTCTCATTTCGGGGGGCGGGTCTCTTCCAGGCTATCTTGGAGGGCCTGGGGGGTCTGGGGACGATGTCTTGGAAGGTTCTCCCACGGGGGAGGTCTGAAATGGCTTGTCTTGGAGGGTCCAGACCCCCTCCCTTGTATTACGAAATCTGGAGTAGTGCTTCTGGCACATTTTAGGGGCTCCGGGGCCCTACTGCTGACCGGGTCCCCTTACCTTGGGGCCCTGGCTGTGCCCGATGAGAGAATGGCCGCCCGCTCGGGGATCCACGATCGGGGGGGCGTCCGTCCTCGACGAGGGGGTGCGTGCACGAGCGTCGACCCACAGCTTACGGAGCTGACGTGTGGACTGGAGAGCACTACTATTACGCGCCGCGCGAGGCCTGCAGGATGTTCCTCAAAGTTCGCCCCTCGAGAGGCAAGACGTCCACCAAGACACCCCGGTCCCCCAGTCCCTGGATCGGCACCCGGGGGTGCGATCAGCCGCCACGGACTGTGCTCGTCGTTCGCCCGCGCAGGAGGAGCGCGCGTGCCAGGAAAACCCACCCTGGGTCCTTGGGGCACACATGCGACATGAGCGCGGCATCGGCATCCCATCCTGTTCTTATTTGTTATATGTGTATATATATATATATGTGTACCTGTAGGACCACCCTTCGGGTGATAAGGAGGTTCGGGGGGGGGAACCAATGTCTCACTCGATCGGTCTCACTCTCGATCTCATTATCGATCTCAGTATCGGTCTCGCTCGATCGATCTCACTCGATCGATCTCACAATCGATCTCACTCGATCTCTTTCATTCGGTCGATATCACAATAGATCTGACTATCGATCTCACTATCGATCTGATCTCACATTCGGTCTAACTATCGATCAGACTATCGATACCACAATCGATATCACAATCAACGTCATCATCATCATCATCAACCTCATCGTCATCAATGTCCTCAACATCATCACCATCATCAGCATCATCGGGACGCCATCATCATCATCATCATCATCATCAGCACATCATCATCATCATCATCATCATCATCATCATCATCATCATCAATCATCATCATCATCATCATCATCATCATCATCATCATCATCATCATCATCATCATCATCATCATCATCATCATCATCGGGACACCATCATCGTCACCATCATCATCATCGAAATCATCATCACCAGGGAACCGTCGTAACACCAACATCACCATCATCATCTCATCATCATGATCATGAATAGCATCATCCACATCATCATCATCGGGACACCATCATCATGATTCGCAACATCATCATCAACAACATCATCGGAAAACCATCATCATCGTCCCCATCATCATCATCATCATCATCATCACCATCATCATCAGCATAATCGGGACAGCACCATTATCATCAACATCAGCAGCATCATCACAATCATTGGGCCGCCATCATCAAAATCATCATCATCACCTAATCTGCATTCTCATCATCAACATCATCATCATCGGGATACCATCATCGTAATCATCATCATCATCATCATCATAATCATCATCATCATCATCATGATCATCGGGATACCATCATCGTAATCATCATCATCATCATCATCATCATCATCATCATCATCATCATCATCATCATCATCATCATCATCATCATCATCATCATCATCATTATCGTCATCATCACCATCATCGTCATCACCATCACCATCAACAGCATCAGCATCAACATCCTCCTCATCACCATCATCGCGACACCATCATCATCATCATCTGCATCAGGATCATCAACATTGTCATCATCGGGGCAACATCATCCTCATTATCAGCAACCTCATCATCATCATCACCATCATCATTATCATCAGGACACCATCATCATCACCACCATCACCATCATCAACATCGTCATCATCATCATCATCATCATCATCATCGGGACACCATCATCATCACCACCATCACCACCAGCATCATCATCGTCAATATCATCAACATCATCATCATCATAATCATCATCATCATCATCATCATCATCATCATCATCATCATCATCATCATCATCGGGACACCGACGGGACACCGGCGGGACACTGGCGGGACACCGCGCGCCACCGGCCCCCGAGCGGGACACCAGCGGGACACCGCGGGGCACTGGTTGCCGGAAGGGAGACTTTTGGTCCGGCCGCGCCTCATTTACAGGAGACTTATTTCTCGCCCGCCCACGCAGCTTCGCCTCGCCCGCACGCACGGCACGCACGAACACGAAACCGAAACCGATTTCCCGGCAGGGGGGGCTGTCCGTTCCACTTCGATCTCACCCACTCACCTCCGATATATATATATATATATATATATATACACCTATACGACCACCCTTCGGGTGATAAGGAGGTTCGGGGGGGGGGAACCAATGTCTCACTCGATCGGTCTCACTATCGATCTCAGTATCGATCTCACTATCGGTCTCGCTCGATCGATCTCACTTGATCGATCTCACAATCGATCTCACTCGATCTATCTCATTCGATCGATCTCACAATTGATCTCGCAATCGATCTCACAATCGATCACACAATCGATCCCACATTCGGTCTCAATATCGATCTCACTATCGATAGCACAATCGCTCTCACAATCAACGTCGTCATCGTCATCATCATCATCATCATAATCATCAACATCATCATCATCACCAACATCGTCATCATCATGAGACACCGTCAGCATCATCATCATAAACATCATCACAAACGTCAACATTATCATCGGGACATCATCATCATCATCATCATCATCATCATCATCATCACCATCAGAATCTCATCATCAACATCATCATCATCGGGAAACAGTCGTCGTCATCATCATCGGCAGCATCATCAGAATCATCATCATAATCGGGACACCATCATGATCACCATCGTTCTCATCATCAACATTATCATCAACATCGTCATCATCCTCGGGACACCATCATCATCATGATCATCGCATCATCATCATCAACAACATCATCATCATTGGGGCACCATCATCATCATGAGCAGCATCATCATCAACATCGTCATTATCATTATTATCATCATCGGGACACCATCAGCATCACCATCATAATCACCATCATCATGAGCATCATCATCGGGACACCATAATCATCGTCAACATCATCATCATAAACATCACTACCGCCTGG